CCTCTTGCGCCACCTGGACGAAGCGCGCCGCGTCCTCAACCGTTGCGGTGCCGTCGATGCACCGCACGCCCCGGCGGCCGTCCAGGCTCACCAGGTCGACGCCTGCGGCTGCGAGCAGTCCGTGAGGCGGCCAAAAATGAAGCGAACGAAGCAGCTGCCAGGTCTGTAAGGTGCATAGGCTAGGAATACTACCAACCCTGGCAGAAAACGACTCATGCATAGAAGAAGGTTTGAGTTTGAGCTATTTTTCAGACTACGAGAATTCGACGAAGTGCCGAGGCAGTGCCTGTCGGATTTGAACAGGGCAGTTGAATACGGGTTGAACTTTGGTCGCGGGGTCTTTGCTCTATGCTTTTTGGGAAAATGCTGGTCAATGATAACCTGGGCAGAATGCTTGCCTTCGACTTCAGCATCCCTGCTTGGATGCCTAAGAGTGACGTTCTGCCGCTCCCAAAACCACGGTGGAAGCTCCTTGCCAGGTGCCAAATAACAAGAAAGCGTCCAACCAAAATGCAAAAGGCAGAATGCAAAAGGAGTGCCAAGACTTCTTGGCCTTAGACTTCTGGAAACAAACCAAACGTTAACCCCAACAATCCTGCAATCAATCATGCAATGATACTTCATCTTTAACAATCTTCAAGGATCCTTTGATCTTCCAAGGCCAGCCTCTCTCACCGGTGCCCCAACCAACGCTCCTGCAAAGGTACCGCATCCAGCTCGATGGCCGCAGCCCACACCAGCCGTTGCTGCGGAGTGAGCCAAGCCCAGCTGAGCGCCTCCCGCGCCAGGCAGCGCAAACGCTCCATGAAGGCCGCGTCGCGGTCTTCCGGGCCTCGAGACAAGGCCAGTGGGTGCCGAAAATGTGTATGCGCCCACGACTTGTGGATTGCTGTTTTGGTTTGGGGGAGCTGCTAAGTGCAGACCCATGGATGCCACGGAAGGGCCAGCACAACGCTTACCCACTGATCACAACGAGCATCAATTACCAAAACACACCTGGATCTCACTCCGCCTACTGCTTGCAAGAGTCTCACTGAAACAGTCTTTGCCGTCGCAGCATGTGGCACCAGCGAACCGCCCGTCCTCCTGGCAGCTCAACTGGGAACCCGAGAGAGCATCCTGGAATCCCGGCTTGTGTTCAAAAAGTCTCACTTGATACAGCAGTCAGTTGGAAATAATATGTGCTTCATTGGCACCTAATCTGCTTCAAGTTGCCTAAAAACTGGGTCCTTCTCAGCCTCGGGAGCGCTCCAGGACCAAGACCAACCGGATCCATCCTCCACCCTGCAAAGCCGACATCCATCCTCTCAGCCATCAGACGCATCGCGCCCAAGACCCCGACCAGGCCGAGGAGAAGGTGGCCGCCACGGTGTCCCCGCCTTCGCTTTGCCATCAGGCCCCATCAACGAGGTGCTTCTCAACCGCCCCACGGGAGTTGTGAGAACTCCCGAAGGCTCGGCGGCAGCACTCTGCGCTTGGGCCATTGGCTGCAAGCTTGGCACTTTTAGTGCAAACTTGATCGAACATGTTC